AAAAAAAAAAAAAAAAAAGAGTAGTTAGAAACCCCTGGGGAACATAATAGCAATACATATTCCCCATCCTTGTCCCAGAACTACAGAATCTATATTTTAATGTAATTAGCTCCACTCCTGGGTGATTTTTATGATTTTGACGAAAGCATTTGAGCACACTCTCCTTGGAAATAAAGACCTTGCGTCTCTGCATCCACTGTGCCAGGCCATGCTCATTAAACGGTCAAAGTCTCTGTGTGGCCACCACTCAGCAGACGCTGGGAGTGTGACAGACTTCCACAGAGCAAATACAATGGAAGCATGGACAGCAAGCAGTGTCTCATCCTCCACCTGGGCAGGTTAGAAATGAGTATGCCTCACCTAGAGCCATGGAGCGGTCCTGTTCCGTCCTCAGACCCTGGAAATGTCATCAAAGTAAGGAGAAAAATCCAGAACCTGGAAAAGACCCAGGTTTAGCCACTTGCCAATCCAATTATTTAAATACAGGATGACCAAAAATTGCATATTTTTCATTAATTTTTATAAGATAATATAACAAGAGATATAAAAATGACAATTTTATCAAATTTATTCAATACAAGAATTGTCTGGTTGTAATGACACCTGCCAGAGCAACGCCCAGGACAGTCAGTACACAACCCACTCACTGCCTGAGTGATGCTCTGGGTAAACTGTTAAGTGGTTAAAATTAAGAACAAAATAAAATTTCTCTAGCTAACCGAGAAACCTTGGGCAAATGGCTTAACTTCTGTAAGTCTCTGCCTACACCTCTGTGACAAGGTTGACAAGACAGAGTTGTCACAGAGTAGGAAGAAAAAAATAAATGAGAAGGCCATATTTACATTGTGTGGGGGGGGGCGGTGCGCGGGGATTTAGCTCAGTGGTTCTGCCACCTGCCTTGCAAGTGGAAGGTCCCAAGTTCGATCCCCGGTACCAAAAAAAAAAAATGACTTTGTCTATATTGTGTGTGTGTGATTCTATTAAAACAGAATTATCACAAAGTAATCTTTAAGACTGGCTTCAATAGTTACACCATTAGACAAAGAAATCCTGGAAGAATTCAAAATGGTACCACCGAGAATACAAAAGCTCATGCAGGCAAGCCTTCAGTCACAGACTCAGAGGGTTGGAAGGGCCTTCAAGAGGCCGTGGGGTTCGACATGGGCCAGGAAAGGGCTGAGAAAGCAGCCTCAGGACGCAGCTGGTGCTGGTGCTGGTGCACTGAGCCTCCATGACAACCATCCCAACGCTGCACTCTGCCTGGACTGGAGCCCACCCAAAGCCGCACTTAGCTCATCTTTACAGTACTGGGGATTGAACCCAGAACTGAGCTACCCTCAGCCCTTTTTTAATTTTTTGAGACAGGTTCTCCCTGAGTTTCTAAATTCCCCTTTGATCTTGAACTTGTGATGCTCCTGCCTCAGGCTCCCAGAGTGCTGAGTCCAGGTGTGTGCCATCACTCCTGGCTTGAGGGGACGTGGGGCTCTGGGTCACAGGCCACCTTCTCCAAGGCCACCTCGGTCTAGAAGGTGAATGGCACCTTGGTGCAGTAAGAGGCAGCCTCCCAACCCTAGGTCACAGGGAGAGACAGACACCCTGGGGCAGCAGCCCACCTCACCCACACCTTTGTGAAGGGACGGCTCCATAGTTCCCAGCGGCCTGTGCCCCTCAGGAATGAGCAAATACAAACCAAAATTAAGTGTTTACCAAGGGCCTACACTCTGCCAGAAAAGATGTTCATGTTTTACACTCCATCTTTCCTGAAATCCTTTGCAAGAAAGTGCTATAATCTACATTTCCAAAATGAGGAAGCGTGGGGACCTCATGGCGCAAGGGTAGCCAGTGTAGCACATCTGACTCCTGAGCTAGGGTCTGAGTGCAGATCCCCCCCTCCCCCATCATGGTCCCCTCTCCTTCCTGCCCATGGCCCACCATGAAAGATAGCTTTCCTTGAGGGGCCAAGGGGTGCTCAAAATGGGGCTGCCATTCCGCTGCCTCAAAGGCACGCTCTGAAGATTCAGAGAAACTTGCTTTTAAAAGAACATCAGGCAGGGCCGGGGATTTAGCTCAGTGGTGCCACCATCTGCCTCGCAACCACAAGGTCCTGAGTTCGATCCCCGGTACCAAAAAGCAAACAACAAAAAATTTTTTAAAAAAGAACATCAGGCAATCCAAAGATGAGCTCATCTAGCACCTTCCCCCTGAGGGAGCAGACCGGCTGCCCCTCCTTGGCTTTTGGTCTGGGCTCAGGGTGGCTCTCCTCACCCTGGACAGGCAGCAGGGGGTGTGTGCACCGTCCTGCAGCCCCACTGCTGGTTCCAGCTCCACATTCCAATACAGACGGGCCTCTTGGGCCAGGGGTGGGGGTGCTGGCTCTCAGGAGCCCTGGAACAAATAGTTGGCAACAGCTGTGTTCTCGGACAGCAGTTGGTCGGGCCCCTGCTACTGTTCTCTCCTTCCAGGATGGGTCACCAGCTGTAAGTTAGTGCCCCGACCTTGAAGGGCCGGTGCTCATTGAGCGATTGAGTCTCCCACAGGGACCCCATCGGTCAGTGGGGCCAATTCCACGGCCCAGCCCCGAGGCATCAGGAAGTCCCTGAGTCACACTGCTGGGATCCCATGCGTGGAAGAAAGCCCTCGGCCCTGCCCTTACAGAGCAAAGCCCCCACTCCGCCCCCACCCAGGCCCTCAGAACCGCAGACTGAAGGGGTCTCGCTAACTCTCCCAATCAAAATGTGGCAGGAGGAGAGGACTCTGGGCAAGGCTCTCACTGCTCTTCCCACCTCCGGCCTCACCTTTCAGCATTTTCTCCCGTAAAGCTCCACAAGTGGGTTTATAGTGCCAAATGGGAAAATCAGACCTGGGCAGGCCCAGTTCGACCCTAAGGAACACAGGGAGTTAAGAACACAGCGGCTCTGGGGGTCAGGAGCAACCAGCGAGCAAGGAGGGAAGGCTGGAGACTTCTGTGGGGAGCTGGCCTGTCAAGACCGACAGACATGTTCTAGAACCTTCCTTCCACCAAGGCAGTCATACAGTAAACAGCTCCCACCCTCCTCCCCTGCCCCAGCCCATCCACACAGAACAGTGCAATTACCTGTCTAAGACCCAAAAGGAAAGGCATCCTGCAGGAGCATCATCCACACTACTGCGTTTGGAACAGAGGGCTCTTAACAGTGACCGTCTGGGATGAGCACGGCCCCTGGTGGGCTCCGTGCTCGGCGTGTCCACTTAACCGCCCTCCCAGGCAGGGAAGAGAAAGTAAACAGAGTCCCGGGGCTGAGCTCTCCTCACTGATCGCTGCCTGGCTCCCACCCGCCCCACCTTCTCATGACACATCTCAGACGCAGCGCAGCCCAAGCTGTCTGCCAAGGGGAAATGACATCAGTTCATTTCAGGCACAGCAGAGAAAGCTGTAGGCAGCTGCTGGGGACACTGAGGAGGATGTGCTGCAAATACACCCCGCCACCAGACTGGGCCCGCTCCACCAGCAGGCTCTAGGCAGGAAACAAGTCTAGGAGCCGAAAAGAACTGTACTTTGGTGAATGAGGACTGATGCCATAGCTCCGAGCTGCTGCTTCTCTTCCTTGGGAAAGAAAACCAGGCCCAGTGACTGTCAGTTTCACAGAAACTTTCCCACCCTGGGCCAGAGTGCACAACAGCACAATAAGTCTGGCTGTCCCCACCTTCTCTAGCAAAAGAAGCATCTGCAGAGGCCTGGAGAGACCTCTTCCCCTAGGGTGGCCTGGCTCCCTCAGGGCGCTGGCCTCTCCAGCCCTCAAGCCATAGGAGAGTTTGTATTTCGTAAACAAACTTGCAGGAACAGGCACCAGCTTCTTCCCTCACTTGTCTTACAAAAGGTACAACAAGTCCCACTGCAGCTTCCAAGCTGCCAGGAAAGCAGATCAGCTATATTTAAACCGACTCCAGCTTTGGAAAGGTTCACCCCCTTAGGTTTGTTGCACTTTCTTTGCTAAGTTCAGTTCACAGAGAAGAGTTTCTCTGACAGCAAGCTTAAGCCGAGACGCAAAGGCCCGGGGCTGGTGGGGTGGCCTGGCCTTGCGGGTAAGAGCTGGACTCTCCTCTGGGCCCCTCCACCCAACAGCAGGTCATGGCAGCCCTCCCAGGCCCCAGCCCCACACCAGAGACAACACAAGCGGAGGACTAAAGGTCCCCATCTGGATGTGGATTAGCAGGAACACGTGCGCTGGGGCTTGAACTCAGGGCCTTGTACATGTTAAACATACACTGCTCCGGTAAGCTACACCCCCAGCCCAGAAATGATTCTTAAGGAAGACAGTCTTCAGAGGAACTTGACAAATCCAAAGTTACTTCCCTAATAACTTCTTCAACTGAAAATTGTTTTTCATGACTCAAAGCAAGTGCAGGTCATCTTTATTTCCATTTTCTGCAGTAATATTCTTTCAGTGAAATTCATTAACAGCCTGCTCGGCAGTGGCACTGTCCTGGGCATGACTCATGTAAGTCAGAAATGACTCTGGCAAATTAGTATCTATACCCCCACCTAAGACAATAAATTAGCAGTATACAATGCTTGGAGCGAAGTGCAGTGCTGAGAGTACTTTCTGATCATTAGAATCTGGCCAGACACACAAATGTGCTTGCTGCGGGTCACCACTATGGTCGAGGTCACTCTGACTTTCCTGACAGGAAGATGAATGCGCCAAGCCAGCTCAGCCCCCTCCTCGAGGCTCCCAGAAGAACAGACTGCAGCCTCAGTGCCCCGAGGAAGAGGAAAGGGCCGACATGTGGAGAGAAGTGGCTCCCGCAGGAGCCTTCTTCAGCAGGTAAGATACGATCAATACAGGGCCAGACAGCCCAGCCCAGACCCACATACACAGGCCGAAATGCTAGCCAGACGGGGCCAGCATCAGGCACAGCTGCACAGAGAAGGCTCTTCCAGCCCCTCCACTGATTTTCTCAGTTCCCTGGCCACCCCTGGTAGCCAGAAAACACGTGCAGCACTCTTCACTTTGGCAAGTAAACTGGAAGAGAGACGTGCTCAGCCCCTCGTGGACAGCTCCACCTGCACTGCCCTAACGGGACAGACCAGCACCTGCAGCTCTCCAAAGAGTAGGCCCACACATTCCTTCCGCACTCCTGGACGGCTTGGGGTGCCGGGCTCGGTTCTCTGCACTGAGGGGACCACCACACCCAAGCACTCCAAAGACCCTGCTTTGATGGGCCATGGAAGTGGTCTTAACAATATTAACCGTTTCTTAACAATATTCATCAATGGTGATCTCAGAAGAAATGGAACTGTAACAATGCCACTGAAATTGTTTTAATGTGTAAAAACTCAAAACACCATGATTACAATCGCATCACAGACTGCTCCCAATGAATCACCCTCTTATGGTGCTACCTACTCGAGACAGTCTTTCTAGTCAGCCTTCTGGTTTTATCTTCTTACGAGATTATAAATTGTGTGTGCAGGACACTGTTTAACCTAAAAGCATAACCACTGGTACAATAAACACATCATCAACAAAAACGGCTGCTGACTACGGCTTCTTCCTCCTATCCATTTCTCACTGAAACCAGTTGCTGAGGAAGCTTCACTGAAGTCTAGGGCTGAGGCAAATTCAATCACTTCTATGAAGATGAGTTCACTTTCTGCCATGCCCTAGAAATATCACCACAACCTAGAGACAAAAGTATTCCACTGTAGGATTTAGGAAGCAAGATGATCATTAGCCACTTCTGCTAGCCTGATGGGGAAAAAAAAAGATGCTTTTATGACTGATCCAGGCTCAACCATGATGGACCAAAGTCAGGGCAAAATCTTCAGGTAATTCTGACCATCTGCCTGCCATTACATAAACTCATGCTAAATTTGGCAATTTAGAAAGAAAGTCACACTCTGCTAGAATTAAGCAGGACTGTGATGTTAGGATGTTGCACGTTAACCACTGTTTATGGCCCCAAGCAGTGTCTGAGGCTTTCTTCCCAGGTCGGAGAAGCTGTAAGACTCTGACGTACCCTCCAGACCCGCTGTAACACACATGCTCACGGAGCTCATTCTTCTGCTGTCGTCCCCTAAGTACTTTCTGACAGTTCTCTAGGTAGTCTATACATTTCTAATCTTTACCTTCTGGAATGGGGGTGGGGAGAGTATTTTCCAACCCTGACCAGGGACATCTGCGGAACTCCGTCTGACCAACATCCTACGCACTGCCACAGCCACCCTGAGTAGGCTCAGCTGCAGCAGTCAGGGCATATGGAGCCCATAACTTGACCAAGGCCACACGGCTGGCAGTGGGTGTGAGAAGTCAAATGAAGTCTGTGGCTCTAAAGCTTCTTTCCTTTATGATGATGAAGGAGTCAGAGAAATCACTACTGCGACAACCCCAAAACTCAGGGTCAGGTGAGTGCTGAGCAGACATGCAGGTCCCAGGAGAGTGCTCTAGATGCTGTCTTTTTGTTTTTGTTTTCGGCACTGGGGATTGAACCCAGCACTGAGCCATATGCCTAGTCTTCTTAATTTTTATTTTATTTTTTTGGTACAGGGGATCGAACTCAGGACCTTGTGCTTGTGAGGAGGCGCAGTGCCACTAAGCTAAATCCCTGGCCCTGTCTTTTTTATTTTTTGAGACAGGGTCTCCCTAAGGTGCCCAGGATGGGCTTGAATTTACAGTTCTTCTGCTCCAGTCTCCCAGAGTGCTGGGATTACAGGTTTGCTCCACCATGCCAGGCTTCAGAGCATAAAGACTGGTACTTCTGCCAAGAGTGACAGTGTACACCTGTAATCCCAGCACTCCGGAGGCTGAGGCAGAAAGATCGCTGCAAGCGTACGCTACACAGTGAGTTCAGGGTCAGCCTACATAGCAAGACCTGTCTCAAAAAAAGAAAAAAGACTGCCACTTTCACTCCAGGGGCTGTGCTGCTCTGGAGTAGAGTCAGGACCCGAGGCGCACTTGGGAGAGCAGCTCTACTAGGTAAATGCCCAGAGAGCCGCAGTTCTCGTCTGTTTCAGCACAGAGCAGAGCCCCACAGAGGGCAGGCTGGAGCCCCTCATCGGCCTTGGCTCTCAGGTGCCCTGGAAACTGTTCCTACACCCACAGCATCGGGCCCACTGAGACTGGAGGCAACTGGTGACGGGGGACCAGGGCATCTTATTCTGCAATCAAGGAACCTGGAGAAAGAGGGGGTTGTCAGAACAGGGCAGGAACTGCCAGGCTTCTAGGACAGGAGCTCCTGTCTAGACAGCTAGAAATAAGAAAGACATTCCCACAAAGCTACATTCCCAGCCCATTTTTTATCTTGAGACAGGGTCTGGTTAAATTGCTCAAGTGGGACTTGAATTTGCAATCCTCCTGCCTCAGCCTCCCAGAAGCTGGGATGCTAGGCATAGGCCACCACACTCAGCTATTAGCCAGAATTCTAAGGCATTTCAAAGAGTGTGCCCAAACCCAAGAAAGATAAGTTTTATCTTAGATATCTAAATCCCCAGCCCAATTTATTTGTTTTTTGTTGTTGTTGTTTTTGGTACCAAGTATCAACTTAGGACCTTGCTCTTTTGTGCCACAGAACTAAATTCCCCCGCCCTCCAGCTGTTACCTTGAGTGGCTGGATGTGACTCCAAATATCAGGTCACAGATGAGGAAGTGATGATTATAACTAAAGTCAGGGCACTATCTCCACACGTGTCCCCGGGTGGGAATTAACTCAAAACCTAAAACAGTATGTGTGCCACAATAAAAGTTAAACAGAGACATCTTCCTGTCATGAGCACGAGGCTACACATCCATAAAAGGATCCTGAAGTCATGATTCTGGGGCATGTTTTGGGCTGAATTCCAAATCCAGACAAAGACCTGCAGAGCATAAAACACAAACATAAAGGGCCGCTCTGCTGCCAGAACCCAAAACTTCGAGCTCATCCATCAGGGCTGGACAAGGCAGATATCTACACAGCAAACAGCTCTCCAGGTCTCTGAGAGGATGAGGGTTCTGGGAGTTTCGGGAATGTTCCTTCGGCAAGGCATCCACACAAGCGTGAGGCTGCTTTCCCAGCCACAGCGTATTCAGGGAGAGGCTGGGCACAGTGCCGAGCGGTCACTGCCTGCTGCTCCTCAGGTAACGTCAGAGGGGGGCTTCAACAGATGACGACACCTCACATTCTGGGACAAAACCTTGAGATGAGCTTCGTGGAGTTCATTAGCTAATCCAAGGGTGCGCACCTAAGTCAGGGGAGCCGGCCGGTGCTGCAGTGAGCCTGTGGCCCCACAGTGCTTGGACA